AAATAACTCTTCTACAGTTGAATGGTGGATGCAATATGGTCATAATGTCCCAAACTTGCAACAGTTTGCTATTAGAGTGCAAAGTTTAACTTGTAGCGCATCCGGTTGTGAGAGAAATTGGAGCGTGTATGAACATGTGAGAAACTACATTACATTATTACTAAATTAATAGGTATCTTAATCATCCTAAGTCCTATTAATTCCTTTCTACTATGTGCAGATTCATAGTAAAAAGAGAAATAGGCTTGAGTTGACACGCCTCAATGATCTAGTGTTCATCAAATATAATAGAACATTGGCGCGTCGTTACAATGCTCGTAATACCATTGATCCAATTTTGTTGGATAGTATTGATGAGGCAAATGAATGGTTAACCGGAGCACCCCAAGATCACCAAGATGAAGAAGTGTATGAAGGAGAAAGTCTCACTTATGGTGATGTTTCTATGGCAAGTGGTGTTGAGGAGAATATTTATAGTTTTAGGAGGAGTACTTTAAGGGGCAATGAAAGAGGAGCTAGAGGTTCCAGTTCAAGTCGAAACCTTGTTGATGAGCCTTCTGATGATGAAGAAGATGATGACCAAGTAGAACCCTTGGTTATGGCACTTGAAGAGTTTGAGGATCTTGTTGAAGAATAGGAGTTTGATTCTTTTGTGATTTAATTATGTTTTTGATTTTTTGCTTTATATGTTATGACTTATGAGTATTATTGACTATCTATTTACTTTTAATCTAAGAATATATTACCTCTATTCAGTTATTTAATATTTTTTTATTTTTATACTAAATATCGCTTTACTTAAAAAAAGCGCGCGCTTCGCTTCTCGCTTCTCGCTTCTGTGAAGCGAGCCCTCGTCGCTTTTTCCCGCTTCTCGCTTCCCAAAACACTACTAAAAATGAACCAATGTTCAGAAAATCACGATGAATCATGTTAAATTAACATAGGAATTAGGTCCCTTTTCATATACGAACTGAGCATCTATGATCCGAAATTTTAAAAGAAAACTAACCAGACTGATCTGTCGAGATTCGTTTTCAAACCAACCAAACATCGATGTGCAAACAAGCTCCGTTACTCTGTTCGTTCGCTGGAGTTGCTGGCCAGAATGAGAGTAGAAAGGAGCGGACGAGCAGGGGTCTCGTTGTCTCGCCATCGCCGCTGCTTGCAGAGTTGTTGTTGCAGGCTGCTGCTGATGTTCTCCTTGCCGGCTGCTGCTATTGGTTTTCCACCGGTGGCCTCGCCTGGTGGCTGCTGGACGGAGAGGAGAAAGAGCGAAGGGAAGAGAGAAAGGAGAAGAGGTAAGGGGAGACAGGAAAAGGGGAAGCCGGCGGAGCCGATGAGGAAAGGGAGAGAGAGAGGGCGCCGGATATGGCAATGGTCTTCGCCGGAGCAAAGACGGAGGAGGAGGAGCAACTATGAAGCTGCTGCGGCGCTACTTGAAGAGGAAGAAGAGAGAATGAAGAACCATCTTAGGGTTTGGGTTCTTTTAGAAATAAAATAGGAAAGTTAGAAGATTTTAAATCTGGACCCTTGAATCTATTAAGATGTAGGGCTGAGATTTGATCTTGAATTTAATTTAAAGGATGAACGGTTAGGATTTAAACTAATGTTTCAAGATTTGGACAAAAGGGTTATAATTGCAATGAATGATTGGTTAAAATTGCAACTAAAATTGATATAAGAGGCTATAGTTGAAAAACGAAATTGGATTGAGGTGGCTAGAATTTTAATGAATTGGATAAGGAAAAAGCTAGAATTGAAAGGAATTAGATCAGAATGGGCTAAAAATTAAATGATTTGGAGGAAACTTAAAGAAATGTTATTCAATTAAAATACTACAAATATTATAATAGTTTTAGTCACTTAAATTTTTAAAACTTTTGAATTATTTCGAGTTTCACTAATAATTTTAAAATATTTTAATAGTATTTACAACAATTTTTATAAAGCATGCATACTAAATATATAATTTTTAGACAAAATCGATTAAAATTTTGAACTCGAAACACTTAAAAAAAATACGTATTTAATCGAATAACATTACCAAAAAGGGTTAAAGGTCGGTCAAAATTGGGTGTCAACACACATCCACTGTTATACAATCTTATAATCAATGAAAAACTATTTTGATAACTTTTTATTTGATCAATAGTTGTCGTAAACTAAATAAATAAAAAATACAAAATAAATAAATACGTCAATTTGAAATGTTTTTTAACCGTTAATATCAATTTTTTGTCTTTATTTAGTAAATATATGTTGTTTATTAACATTTATACAATATTTCTGCTTATAATGATTTTATTTTATATTTTGTTTGAATATAAGACAATCGTACACATGCATCAATTGGAAAGTATATAATACAGTATTTTAGAGATTACAAAACAAAATTTTAATCTAACTATTTAAAATTTGAAAAAAAAAAAAGAGAAGTAATTTCTTTTATTGTAAAAAATGTAACAAAAAAAATACTAATGAAGGACATCAAAACAACTTTTATTTTCTCTCCACTTTTTTTTATTTAAAACTAATTATTTAAAAATGATTCAATTTTCAATATTTTTTAGTTTTAAAAGTCCCTTTATATATTCTATCTAAATGAATATGTTAATGGAAAGAGAAAAAAAAACAGTTTCAGATAAAATATTTTCATAACTCTTCATTTCTCATCCACTACTACATAATTTTATAATCAATAAAAAAAGTGTGTTAATAATATTTTATTTTATCAGTATTTTCTTAAGCTAAATAAAAAATTACAAAATAAATAATTATGATTATTTTAAAATAATATTAAAAGTGAATATCACTTTTTCGTCTTTATTTAGCGAATATATGATGATTATTTTTATTTTGTAAAAATGAAAATATAACATTTATGATTATAATCTATATTTTGTGTGAATATAGGGTAATCTTACACATGCATCAATTGTTATGATCACTTAAATTTAATACAAGATATATTTTTTTGGTATTTAAACTTGATGGTAAAGCTTTCGTTATATGATAATTTTAGAAAAAATTGTATATGATAATTACTTTAATCGAGCGATTTATATATTATAGGTTCTTGAAAAGTAACAAATTATTAAAATTGAACAAGTTTTATGAACCACACTGATATATTAATTTATTTACATAAATATTCTATTATAATATATCAAGATGCAAAAATATTCTCTCAAATAAACTTTACAATATTATTTTACAATAATTTAAATTTTGAAATTGTCAATAAATTATTTTTTATGATTATATTTATCAACTAATCGCGCAACGCGCGGGTACATATACTAGTAAAGATAAAAAAGAAATAATAAAGATCACGTCACACGTGGCTTTAATTTATATTACACATCACTCCACTAAGCAACTACATCATAATCACTTTCTCTTATAACAAAAGTGATTGTTTATTGTGATATAATCATTGATGATTCGAGAAGTCATACTGCATAAATATTGATGGCATATTTAGATGTCATACTGCTTACACATTGATGGCATACTCGACTGTCATATTAATCACGAATTATAGTTCTCTTCTCAATATAACCAAAAGATACGTTTGAAACTACTTAGTTCCCTTATACTCTTTTTCAAACACCTCTTTACTTTCTCAAAAATTCAATTTAAACAAAAGTGATTGGATTCCAAAGACTCTCAAGACTTATAACTCAAAGTAGGGTTCATGTTGAAAATATAGACATGAATGAATCAACTCAAGGATTGTTTCCCTAATTTGTTTTTCAAAAACATCAAGACTTATAACAATAGTGATTGTTTCTCTTATTTGTTGCTGCTCCATCCATTGCTTAATTAATTAGTCACTCCATCGAACTTCATGAATATGGAGTGATGGAAGTCTGTACACTTATATCCTTTCTAATTTCTGGTTGTTTCGATCTAATATTTGTAGAGATGATTGGAATACAGGAGGAAAGAGTGTGAAAATGTCTCTCTAAATTATAAGGTAATCACTAATTAATTACTATATATTATGTTCAAATTTGGTGAATAGATGGATATTAATATGTGTTCATGATGTAGGAATAAAGAAAGTGATAGTGAAAGGGAAGATTGACAAAGTGGTGGTGATGGATTATGCACACAAAAACAAAATACTAAAAGCAATAAGGAGAGGTGCTAAATTTTTCCAGACTTTTCATGTTTCTGTCACGACCCGAACCTACACCCTGGACGTGGTTGGCACTCGAGAACCATTGTTGGTCCCCAAGCGAACCCTCATCCTAGCTGACTACAAGCGGAAGACTAACTCAAACATACATAAGCTTAAAACTGAATTAAATTCATTAAACTCAAATACTCAACTCATAAAGTATGAACAATACTCAATAGAAATACTTACAGTTTGTAAAATAATTCAAAAGAAAGTAAATACTGAAAGACACCTCGACTCTGTCTATCTATGAAGCCTCTAATATTAAGGAAGGATATCGGGAAAAGACCCACGACACCTCAAAACTACTAGCTAGAAAGTAACTGTGAAGTCCTCTAGAATACAAGGAGGCTCACCAAAGCTAACTGGAGTGTAGAGTGATCTCAACGAAGCGACTGTTGATAATCCTGAACACCTGTATTTGCATCATAAAAGGATGCATGTTGAATGTCATCAATACATGCAATGTACAAGTATGCAATATGGATGAATAAGCAAATAACTGAACTGAATGACTGAAAGCAACTCAACTAAATCAATACATGAACATGAAGTGAAAACCATTTAAGTTTTACAATAAGATATGCAATAAAAACAATATGAAAATAACATACTTTAATTTGTGGGGAGTTTCTCTAACCGACAATCATTACTATGAGCTTAGCAATAATACAACATTTCACCCACGTTGCAAGGGTCATCCTATACTTTGCGGGGGTATAGGATGATATCGTGACTATGGATCCATCTAATAGGCCTTCTCAGAGGTAGTGAGGAGTCGCATGAAGAATCAATGATATCCTATTCTATATATGCTGGTTACGTAGTTTTATGGGACTTCCAAATTATAAAAGACTCTAACCCAATTCGATGCTCAACACTACTCCCAAAATAATCAATATAACTTTATGCTCAATTCACCCTTTTCAAAGAAAGGGACTATTACATTACTTTACTTTTCACTTTCCTCAATCACATTTTATAAAGAAAGGAACTATTACATTACTGAAGTACTTTTCAAAAACATCAATCATACTTACATATGAAACCATTTGACTCTTTAAAGACTCTGTTGAAAACTTGTATTTAAAACGTATACTTATGGACTTATCTTTCAAGTCCAAGATCGATCTATAAAAACTGAAAACTCTTATACTTTTCTGAAACTCTGCTTTACTTTCTCAAAAATAGTTTAAAATCATTGTTAATTGTGATCTGATCATTGATGACTCGGGAAGTCATACTGCATAAACATTGATGGCATATCTAGATGTCATACTGCTTACACATTGATGGCATACTCGATTGTCATACTAATCATGAATTATAGTTTTCTTCTCAATATAACCAAAAAGATATGTTTGGGACTACTTAATTAGTTCCCTTATACTTTTTTTCAAACACCTCTTTACTTTCTCAAAAACTCAGTTTAAACAAAAGTGATTGGATTCCAAAGACTCTCAAGACTTATAACTCAAAGTAGGGTTCATGTTGAAAATATAGACATGAATGAATCAACTCAAGGATCTCAATAACAATATAGAAATTCAATACTCAGAACTCAAGGACTCAAAAACTCAAGAATACTGAATTCATAAGGTTCATACGAAATTGTGGACAT